TGTGTATTATAATCCACAATTATATAATAATTTTCTTTAATATCTAAAAATCTATGTGATCATTTGCAAAATGGTAGAGAACTTTTTTGTTCAGTTTCATCTAATGCAGGGCTCGGTTTAGTTGCTCATTTCAGTCGATTCTCGGGAGCTACGCCTTCCTGTCTCCCCTTGTCGCGCGGTGGGCCGCGCGGCGGGCCGCGCAACGGACGGTCGCGGCTCTAAGCTTCAGGGCCGTTGGTATTATAAGAGGCGCCATGTGGTGCCAACCAAAGATGCGTTCGGTAAGTGCGCTGATTAGCATTAACGCATCATCCAATCCTTGTTGTACATATAATAAGCAAAGTAAAGATATAATAACGTGTTAGCATTGATAGCGCGCCCCTGTACAAAACATTACCTGTATGGTTCTTTCGATATATTTCTTTTTCCGCCATTAAGGTGCGTTAGAGAATATATATTTTTTAAACAAAGACATACATAACCCTACGTTACATTGATATCGTGACTCATGTCTTTATTATTTTTAACACAAACAACAATTGCGTAACACTTTTATATGTTGTTACTATCACATATAGTTGGAACATGTTTTTAACAATGTAGCTTTCGCAATAGACATATCTATCTCGAGACACAATCTGTCCAAAAATATCAGTTCGCAAATACACATCTTTAGTCCAGTATTCAAAATAATATAAATTTTTACTTGTGACAATACCTGATAGCGATACGCGCGTCCAGAAAAAATAATTATTATAAACACATCTATTTATTCAGTGTATTGTCGAAGAATATTAACGTTTTTAGCCATTCTATAGTGTCACTATAGTGGCAAAAGAGTTAAGAATGTTAATTAGTTTGACTGGGATAGGACGCGGTTTCTCTTGAGCCGGAATGCCTGGACCGTACTCTCGACTTCGGTTTCGCATCACAGCAGACTAGGTACACATTTTTCGGTATTACGACTTATATATTAGCAACATTTTTTTCTAATATGATAGAATGATTCCATTTCTATCCACGGTATACTGTTTATAACATTGTTTTGACCTTATTTTGCGCCATTATTGACAAATTAATGATAACAATAATTATTTTCGAAAATATATCATTTACCATCCGAAATTCTGTACACGCAAAATGTTAAAAATCATGTGTGTGCACAAGTGCATCAAGAAACAAAGTTTCCCCTTACGAATAAATGTTTTGTCGCAACACGATATCGTAAGCGTAAACTTTGCTTCTTAATGCACTTTGACACACGATTTTTAATATTTACTTTGTGTGCACAGCATTTCGGATGGTATACAAGGTGTCCGTCCATAAATATCCGAAATATCCACAAATATCTTGTAACTGGTTGAAGTTACAAGAAAGTTTAATAAGCGAAATTTACATGTCTCTTAGCCCTTACTAAAATTGTTTTCAGCTGATAAAGTAAATTTTTTTGCGTTTATATTTTAAAATATCTATTTCACTATTTTGTACATCTGTATTTCTATTGTCACGACACACACAAAACGCACAATTATTATTCCGCTTTAATGAATTGATTCACACACACACACACACACACATTTTGCGTTCATTATATATCATTAAACAATTTTTATTATTAATAATAAATAGTATCTTTATTACTAATAAAGAGGAGAAGAAAAATAGGCGGTGAAACAGAACTGATATAAAAAGACCTCTGCATTAATTATAAAGTGCATGTTATTTTTTATATAATCACAATTTTGGAGACAAATATTTAATTTTAATATATGTATTTATGTTAAATTTAATATTTTTCAGAATGATACAATTTAATCCACATAATATTATGCTGTTACTCTACGCAACTTTCAATTTTCAACAAAGACCGATAACTTTCAAGGAAGTTGAAATAAAAAAAAAATTTAACACATATAAGAAATACAAAATAATAAAGAATTTAAATTGAAAGAAGAAAAAACATTATATTTTTACAACGTATACGATATCCCAGAAACGGAAAAAGTAAATTTATTAAAGAAAGATAAGATCATGGTATATCCAGAAGAAGTTATGTATAGTTCTGTTGAAGCCACAATATCTAATGAATATAAAAGGCAAGATGTGGAATTCTGAAAGAATAATAGAGCGAAAACAAACTTAATATCGTTAGAAACAATTAGATGAAGATTCACATTAATATCGTTAGAAACAATTAGACGAAAATCACATTAATTCGATAACTACGACGATGGAAAAACCAAATCAATAAAGGTGGTACTAGAGTTGAAAAATTAAGACGAATCTCTGAATGCACATTAAACCGTTTCAACAAAGCGTTTGAAAAGACACACACACACACACACACACACACACGCACGCACGCACACGCGCACACACACACATTGGGAGTGTGCATTAATTTTAAAGTATTTTCAAGAGATGACGTAACTAGTACTATATCGTATCGGGCCATATTGTTGCTACCTTCATGTCAAAGCATCATTATGTGGCTTTAGTTTTCAGTATGTGTCATTTTGCTGAAGTGTAAACTACATTGTTTTTTTGAGAATTGAATATGTCGAATTTTGTGCCAACAAAACGCAATTTGTGGCAAGCTTTTCTTTTATGCTTCCATTTGAAGAAAAGTGCTGCTCAAAGTCAACGAATGCTGTCGGAAGCTTATGGTGATTATACTCCATCGATTTCAACATGTGAGTACTGGTTTCGACGCTATAAAAAAGGTGATTTTGACACAGAAGACAAGGAACGTCCAGGCTCCCTCTCCCTCTCCCTCTCCCTCTCTCTCTCCCTCTCCTTCTCTTTCTCTTTCTCTACCCAAAGTATATCCGTTACATAAAAATAAAGTAATAGTTATAAGTAGTTAATCTACTTTACGTAGAAGATGCTATACAAAGTAATTTGCTAATTTTTAATATTTTTTAGCATAAAAGATAGAATTCTCATCACAATATTCATATAATATTTAAAAATATTAGTTCAAGTTTTCTCACACTGTAACATATAATGTTATTTTTAGCTAAATTGTTTGAACTAGTGCTATAAATTAGAATAAGACAAATATATTTTGTTTATAATAAAAACAGACTTATAATTACTGAATCTTTTAATTGAGAACCCAATAAAAACATTATCTATTCGCACATTTTGAGGCTGTAATTCTGAGGAGACATTATGAGCTAGCAAGCTGAAATTTTTCTAATATGCTTCTGCAAGTATAAGAATGCTTAATATAAATATTGGTTCCAGTAACTGTATAAAAGCAGAGTTATAGAAGTTTTCTTCCCTAGCAAAAGAGACACACTTTTTTACTTCTAGATGAACATTTTTAGAATTAAGTGAAATTTCTGTGGTTTTAAGATTTTGTTGTACTGGGAGTAATCTTCAGAGAAGATTTGAACATAATATTAAATTTTAAGTAATATTTTATGTAAATATTATATAGTAAGCACAAAAATAAATTCTAACCTAATTAAACAATACATTTACTAATATACCGAAAGATTGGCAAATATACCTAGACAAACTTCAATTTAAATCAATGGCATTTGTTAATCTTTTCAGAATATATTATTTTAGTATATGATAAAGACTTATATCAATTTAATAAGGCATAATATTTAAATAATATTTTTATATAATGCAATTTAAATAAAATTCATTAATCATTATTGATATAATTAATATTGTTCCTTTTATACATAGCAATAGGTTAAATAATTAATTTGTTTTTTAGCTATACTGCTGAACTGGTGCAATAAGTTAATGTAAAACAAATGTATTTTTCCTCAATTAACTTATTGCACCAATTCAGCAGTGCAGCTGAAAAGAACAAATAGATATGTATTAAGTTAGACTAATTTCAATAATAAAAGCATGACAATATTGTTACATGACAACAGTTAAACAAATTTTGGGATTTCAAAGGCATAGAGAGAATAATCATTTGAATTGCTAACTTTATTTATTAATAAATTTTTGTTTTCTGTGGAACCATGAAATGCCATTTAAATTCTTAAAATGTTGATGTAGACATAAAAAATGTATTTAATCATTAGGAAGTAAAATTCGGCTTCTGTTTAATTGCTGGGACTAATATTTTATATTTGGCTCCCACATTTAGAGTGTATTACAAAATGTTCAATTCGTTTTGACAACTATATTTCATTTTCATAATGATAAATGGGTTAGACGACAATTTCCCAAAAAGTGGGGGAGATAATGTTGGTAATAAATAATGTTGGCTGTAAGGAAAATCTCTACACAATATAACTTAAAAGCCTGTTCTTTGTAACTGCATTGCTGAATTGGTGCAATAAATTAAAGTGAGACAAGTATATGTTTTCTTACTCTAACTTTTTGCATTAGTTCAGAAATGCAGTTACAAAGAATAGATCATTAAATTATATTGTGTAGAGATTTTCCTTAGCATCAACATTATCCTCTCCACTTTTCAGGAAATTGTCACCTAATCGATAAATGCAATATTTGTGACAAATGATTACTCATGACTATTCCATTCTACATAAATAAAATTTATATATTTATATTACACAGATTACTCAATAATTTACAGTTAACTTTTTACTTAGGTATTTAAGTAAATAAATAAATGATCATTGCACAGATTTACCTGAAAAAGTAGTGTAATACAAACAATCATAGGTTTGTTTTTCGTTTCTGCACTGCTGAACTGGTGCAATAAGTTAGAATGAGAAAAAATATATTTGTTTCACTCTAACTTATTGCACCAGTTCAGCAGTGCAGGAACAGAAAACAGACCCCATATATAATGTTATTTAAGCATTTCTGACATTAAACTTCATTGTCAAAATATATTTAAAAGTATATATTTGAGATCACTTACAGAATATCTTAGCAAAAATTTATGACAATAAGACGTGGGTAGTCTTCGGAAGTCCAGATAAAATGCATTCAATTCGAATAATTTAAGAAATTAGGAGGTAATACTAATATATACATTGACAAAATAACCTAACCTGTTTCTGGGTTTTGTTCTTCTGTGCAACGGATATCACATCACTGAAATCCATTTTCCTCGAAATCACTTTATAAGACTTTTTTACCACGTTATCACGTTGTGCATTACTTTAGACTTAAGAGCGTATTTGTTTGATCGTGAATTTATCACATAGGCACATTGATGATACTGAAATATTTCGAAACATGAACAATTCAACAATACACTTTGTTATAAATACATGAAATTCAATACCACATGTAAGTTTGCAACGACACTTCATCAGACATTTTAGTTGTATCCGTTCGTTAAACCATAGACATATGAATATATAGACGAAGCATAAGATATTGTTACGTCCACGACAGATAACTATATAGGGAAATAGGAAAATTTGAAAATAGTGAAATCAGTGACTTACGTGGACGGTCAATAGAGTGATGACTCCGCTTTTGGGTCACTCTGCTTTTCATCGAGTTTACCCTGGATCTCCGGAGTCTAGCGAAACGATCGATAAATCTGATGAGAAATCAGCGCTGCTCGTTCTCCTGGCTCGGTCTTTGGTGTTCCGGCGCTGCGCGGGATGATGTGGCCCGCAATTCCGAATTTTGATTTCGCAATGTCCGAAAAATAAAGGATAGGCAAGAGTAAGGGCTATCGCACACAAATTGACATAACTGCATATGCATAGCATAAGATCGTATGGACCAATGAGCATCGAATATTAAGCATCGAACACCAATATGGCGACTTAATACTCGATGCTCATTGGTACATACGGTCTTATGCTATGCATATGCAGTTATGTCAATTTGTGTGCGATAGCCCTAATGGCTCCTGCACACAGGACGCGGTAATGCTTACCGCGCAGCGAAAGTTCATGTGACAGCCAATCAATATGCTGCTTTCCGAAATAACCTTCTAGCTCTTACGGAAAAGCAACATATTGATTGGCTGTCGCGCGGCAAACATTACCGCGCCCTGTGTGCAGGACGCTACATAATTGCTACACGTTCGGATTTTACGACTAATATATTCCAAATAATTACATAAGAATTACCAGCGAATAATTATGAGAATAAGCACCTTCTCGACAAATACGCGCGTTTTTTATACGTCGCTTTGTTGCTGAGAGTCGTTTTCTAATTAGCTGATAGAGTCATGGAGATGGAAGAAATTCATTCCATCGGTATGATGTCACCGCGTCGATATCGCCGTGTCGGTCTTGAGATTTAGGCTGATATTTCACGTGTTATACGACAAGCTTTTTGGATACGTTGGTTGGCGAATAGAGTATTTCTAGGTTCTCTGTTCGTCAACCAATGAATGTATCTAAAAAACTTGTCATACGACACGTGAAATATCAGCCTCATATGTACTTGACCGGAAAAAAACTCCGGTTGGAAAACTATTCTTTTAAATCGTTTGTATTTCATATGAAGAGTTTTAAAGTGCAATTGAAAATATTTGTGAGTCATTCTATTATTGTAACTAATTGTTCTTTTTTGGACCATGTATTTAAGCGGAAATAATGACCGGAGGTAAATTAAACAAAGGTTCGGTATGGTATCGTTTGTATTTCATATGAAGAGTTTTAAAGTGCAATTGAAAATATTTGTGAGTCATTCTATTATTGTAACTAATTGTTCTTTTTTGGACCATGTATTTAAGCGGAAATAATGACCGGAGGTAAATTAAACAAAGGTTCGGTATGGTATCGTTTGTATTTCGTATGAAGAGTTAAGAAGTATCATCAAAAAGATTTGTGAGTCATCCAGATAGATTTAATTAAATATTAAAAAACCATATATTTGGCCGAAATATCGATCTCAAGCGCTGCTGTGGAAGTATCGTCAGGCACGATCGGTGTACTATCTAGTATTTCAATACTCCTGATTCTTTTTCGGGTAATTATGTATAATAAGGCCTTTTTCGAATTTTGATATTTTTTGCAGCTCTTTTGGTAAAAATATTTATTTTGACTCCAACATTGATAATCAATCGGGGGAGTCCAAAAAATATGCAAGTTATATATTGTTTTAACTTTTTTTTTAGTTTTTTTTCACTTGTCAAACGTTGCTGTTTTCCCACAATTTAAACAAGTTGCTGATCTTTTAATCATATTATGTAACTGCAATATCGAACGATTAGCGGGAGGCTGCGCCTCCTACACTTCCCCTAAAAACTAACCTAACCCAACCAATCGTCACATTAACCGTCAGTCATTGTTTATTAAAGTGTTCAACTTTTTTTCTTAATAATTTTTTAATAAACAATGACTAACGGTTAATGTAACGATAGGGTGGGTTAGGTTAGTTTTGAGGGTGATGCGGGGGGA